TGGATGCATGACATTTGGGACCACATGTCAGTGACCAAGTGATGTATACGTATATACCTGGCTGTCTCCGGCATGGGCATCCTCCAGTAGTACGTCAGCGCGGCAGGGACGGCGCCGGCCATGAGTATGATTCGCCAGGCGAGGTCGGCGCACTCCGGCGTGTCGAGCGGCGCGGGGTGGCCGGCGTAGTGGTCGAAGGCGGCGGCGACGGCCATGGTGACGGCGGAGCTGACGAGGATGCCGAACCCCTGCATGGAGAACACGGCGGCGATGAACGCGCCGCGGGTGCGCCGGTTGGCGAACTCCGAAATGATGGTGTTAAGGATGAATTTGTTCTTGGGATCACGTTCGGTATATTCTTCCACTATCACCATAGTTTTAAGATATAGTCAGTGTACTCTTAATCTAATCTACCAATCAAATACTTTGGGATATTTTATTATATGTTCAAAATTGCAAATTATAAGCAACAACATAGATTTCCCCGATTTTCAATCACCCACTCCCGACCTCCTAAACTTTTGAGGGGACAAACAGGAAAAGAGGCTGAAGACTCTACCAGCGGTGTGACATTGATGGCGCAAAATTAGGAAAGCATAAAGGGCTAGACTTAGGGGCAGAGATGGAAGAGATCGATTTTAGAGGAAATCCATGTTGGTGTGGTGGCCACAACATGGTAGCGAGGTGTTGGTGTCGCTGCTGTGGCCACCAGGAAAGGAGAGGATGACAGTAGGCTCGAGTTGGTGGCAGTTAAACTCGTTAGAGTGGTTATGAGGTGAGAGCACTCACTACTACGAAAATCATCTTTCGTGGCAGCCATTTTAGGTTTTCGCTGGCGGAAATTGGAGCAGCCACAAATCAAAGGCCATTGAAGATCAATATCTTCGCTAGCGGTTATCAACCACCAGCGAAAATTCATTTTCGCTGGCGGTCGTCTTAAGCCAGCCGCCAGCAAAGATCCATTTTCGCTGGCAGCTGTCTTAAGAAGGCCGCCAGCGAAAATGTTTTTCGCTAGCGGGTTACACTGTGCCAGCCGCCAGTGTTAATGCTGGCCAAGTTTTAAAAAAAACGACGGACGGAGCAACACCGCTCCGTCCGCCTCCGTCAACGCTCCATCATTCAAAAATTTCACAGAAATTTACCCAAACATTTAAAATTCCACAGAAATTTACATCAACAATTTACAGTTAAAAATTTCCATTCATCCAAGCATTCAAGCATCATGAAAATGAACACATTAACAAAAACTTTGATGTCACCTCCACCATCACCGCCGCCGCTGCCGAGCCCCGTCAGCCTCCACCACCTCCACCTCGACGACGCCGCTGCCGAGCCCGCCCGACCTCCACCGCCGCCGCCTCGCCACCGCCGCTGCAGAGCCCCGCTGCAGCCTCCACCGCGGCCCGCGCACCAGATTTGAGAGAGGGAGAGGGGGTGGTGGCGGCGAGCAAAGGGGATGAGGGAGGAGCGGAGGAGAAAGACCAGCGGTGGATCCGGGCAGCATGGTCAACGGCGTCGAGGTCAGAGAGGAGGGAGCCTGGCAGCACAGTCGACGATGTTGAGGTTGGTGCCACCCTCCCCGTGGTCCGGCGGCGGCGGATCCGCCCTCCCCGCGGCTCGGCGGCGGCGGATCCGGCCTCCCTGCCCGCGCCCGAGAGCCGCGGCTCGTGGCTCTCCAGCAGCCGGATCCGCCGCCTGCGGCCCTCTGGCGACAGGATCCGCCGCCCTCCTGGCCCCTCCCGGTCGCCGTCGTCACCGTCGCTAGTCCGCCGTGGTTTCCAACGCCGAGAGGAGGAGGAGGAGGAGGAGGAGGAGAAGGAATGGAGAGGTAAATGGGAAGGGATAAAATTAGAGGAGATTTTAATAGAGGGAATATTTTTTTTCGTAGTCGGCGCTAGTTAGCCGCCGCCAGCGAAAATCAGACGCTAGTGAAAATCCGATTTTTTTATGGCAGGCCTCTTAGCGTGGCCGCCAATGAAAATAGAGCCATTTTTTTATGGCGGGCCTCTAAGTGTGGCCGCCAGCGAAAACCGATTTTCGCTAGCGGTCCGTAACCCCTCACCCCTCGTTACATTTTTGTGGCGGTTTTTGCGTATGACCGCCAGCGAAAATTATAGGGCAACGCCATGAAAAATCGTTTTTGTAGTAGTGACTAGAGCAGTAGTGTACTGGTGCCTAATCCAACAACACGAGCCATCATAGATGAGTGAGGAGAGGTGGGACATGTTATCATCATAGAGAGAAGGGCACAACACTATTGAATAGGGGATAGCCACCCTTTGCAAAATTAATGCATCCAACAATATATTTAAAAAACTTCTAATAATTCTTACATGCTATCTATTTTTCCATCTCAAAATAACTTCATTTTTTAAACAATCGTTGCATTGGAGTTTGTGAAAATGGAGATAAATACATTAAGAATAGGTAAAGTGAGGGCATGCTTAGATCCCCGTTGACGCGAAAAACACGCAATGGCCTGAGAGATCTGCTTAACTCTAGTGCAGGTCCAAAGAAATTGCCTTCGGGTTTTGAGCGTGCCAGCTGGTTTGATCCTGCAACCAACAAGATAGAAAAAAGGACGAAGAGTTAAATCCATCAACGGTAGCCGATTGGCTGGATTGCCGACAACGTATCGTCCGAAGCCAAGCCGATATAACTCACATTAGATCGGCAAAGGCAGATAAAACTTAGAGATTATTAGGTCTACTCGATCGGCTGTAGATGTTAACGATACGTAATCCGTCCAATGGAACGCACTTAGACCGAATGATTGGGATAGATCGGATGTTACGCCGAGACAATATAAATCACTCAATATCTAAATGTGCCTCAAAGTTGGGATTATGTACGCTCGCAGCATAGACGATGAAGCAAACCTAACGTGTATCGGCTAGTACTCCGATACCACCTTATACCAATATATCAGCACGGAAGAAATATACAAAACTGAGGTCAATCTAACAAGCAGGGTAAACTAGCAGACAAATAGGAAGCTTAATATACTTTAAACGGACGAGATCTTGATATAAAGAGCATATTTAGACGATCCAGAACCAAGTAGGAAACAAGACGGCTAAAAATCAGGTAAGATCGGCTGAAACCCCGATGCTATCTCTATTAGTATTCAGAGAAAGAGCTAGATAAGACGTTTCAAGACAATACTTAATAGATCGGACCTAACCGATGCAACATTAAGCGTGAAAAGAAACATAAGATCCAAGCAATTCGATGAAAACTCATTCAAGATGGTAGACACACCGCATAGTCTGGCTTGGCATCGAAGCCTAAACCTATCAGCCCGTTTTCGACGATAGAGGCGATGAGGTTTAGATGACGAGACTGATCTAGATTATGCGGTATATATGATAACTCGGCGATTCACATAGACAAGATTAGAGTGTCATAAAAATGTAAGCACTAATCCCGAGAACACAAACCACCATAACAAGCCTTACCTCGTCATCGGAGATCGAACCCGATACAACCCAACTTGAAAGCAAAAACTCGTCGAAACAGTGAAAATAGAAAAGGGTGGCGATGCGCCGAAATATTATCGAACTGTCGTCACTTGATTACAAGGTGTCGGGTCATATTTATACCCGAAGTACATAACATGTCCTTGCTGGACACGACTCTTATCTCTAACACATTTAAAATACAAATAAGTCCTTTAGGTGGACTCATACCAAACATATCTCTAAGGAAACTGAAAAATGTCATAATTAATTGATACAATTGCCCCTTTTTAGGACTCCAATCCTTATGTGGCAATGGCTATGAAGTGCTTTAGCTAATCCCGATGATAGACATGGGACCATCTTTTTCGAGACTAGTTGCATTGGCTTGACTCCGTTGGATTTGGCGCTAGCCGATATGCGGCAGCAAAAACTGCCTGTAGTCGATTCATGTGGCAGCCGATGCTTCCCGTAGCTGATGCGTGCTCTGCTTTCTCGAACAGAATCTCTCCAAATCGGCTTTGATTCTAGCTTTGAATCCGGTCTATGGCATTACCAAATTTGGTCGTTAACAATCCCACCCCAAAATTTTACACTCTGTCACATCGAATGCTTGAACATACCTACATGAAGTATTAAATATAGGCTTAAAAAACTAATTGCACAGATTGTGACTAATTTGCGAGACGAATCTTTTAAGCCTAATTTCTCCATGATTTGATAATGTGGTGCTACAGTAAACATTTGCTAATGATAAATTAATTAGGCTTAATAAATTCATCTCACGGTTTATTGACGGATTCTGTAATTAGTTTTTTTAGTGTCCGAACACCCCATGCGGCACTCTATATAATATCCAATGTGACACGCAAAAACTTTACACCCCTGAATCTAAACACCCCTTGAGAGACAATTGTAGTGCACTAGATAAAGTGGGGAACAATTACATTGGGACTAGATAAAGTGGAGGACTTCGTATTGTTGTTGATATGCGTGTAATGGGTGAAAACTAAAATGAACTTATTTTGAGTCTCTGATGATAAAAGTATGAAAGAAAGATAGATTAATATATGATATATCACCCTACAAATATGTAAGTTTAAATTTGACCTCTGCAGGTTATAAAAGACAAATATGACAATGAATATAACATGCTAGCTAGAGTTTGTTTTTTTCTTTTACATCTTGTTGATGTTCATTTGAATTTATAGGCTTGTGAACTCATATCACATATTAATATATCTTACAAAATATTTAAAAGATATATAGATTTGTAATAAACTAGGTGACATTCTCTCTAAAGTTCTGAAAGGTAAATATATAGAATGGGAGAAAACCTAAGAAGCACTGTAAATAAATCCGCGTTTCCGCTCCTCCTGCCAATCCAAAGGATGACAAGCCTATGTTTTTCTACTCTTTTAAGTTTGAGAAATTTTATGTTCCTTGATTGTATTAAGAGGTATCAAATTTTAGTGCAAACTTTGTACTTCCTAACACCAGAGATATCAAGAGATACTACTTTGTATCTCTCGATACCTTTTCAAAACTATAAAATGATCACTTTTTTAAACATTTAGTTACTTTGGTTCAATTTACATTGTCATAGAGACATCCGGTGCGGAAGGATAGGCGACATGCTGAGGTGCGAGCTCGCCATGGACACAGGGCTCTTGGTCGCCGCCTCCATGAGAACATTTAGTTCGTGGAAGCGCAGCCCATCACTGCCATTGCCGGCATCGCTGCCGCCGTCGCCGACCTGGCTCTGCGCCTGCACGCTGCTCTCGTTCTCCTCCAGCGACCGCGTCATCGTCTCCGGCGTGAACGCGTAGGTGAGCGCCAGCCCGAGCAGGCAGATCCCGCCAAGAACGAACAGCGCGTACATCATGCCGATGCCCGGCAGGTGCCCGGCCGCCGCGCCGTCCTTCTGCTGCGACGCCCACAGGAAGCCGATGGAGCCGACGAGCGCGCCGAGCTTCCCCGCCGCTCCGGACAGGCCGTGGCAGGTCGACCGGAAGCGCGCCGGGAAGAGCTCCGCCGGCAGGATGAAGGTGGTGGTGTTGGGCCCGAGGTTGGCGGAGAAGAAGGTGAGCGAGTAGAGCACGATGTAGCCGGCGGTCTTGGCGTGGTCGCGCCAGTATCCATCGTAGGGACCCGCGAGCGCGAAGAGGAAGACGGCCATGAGGAGGAACCCGGCCATCTGGAGACGCCGCCGGCCGGCGCGCTCGATGAGGAGCATGGCGGCGAAGTAGCCCGGGATGGTGGAGGCGACGGCGATGACGGCCTGGAACTTGGCCACGTTGAACGCCTCCTGGAACGCGTTCACCTTCGCCGCCGGCGGGAACCATGGCCGGTAGATCTGCGACTGGAACAGCGTGCTGCTGTAGTAGGGGATGTCGAGGAGGAACCACGCCGCCGCGCACGCGAACAGGTCTCTCCCATGCTGCCGGACGAAGCGGCGCGAGAAGAGGCCGTACGAAGGGCGCGGCGGCGGCGGCGTCGTCACCGGAGGCGGGCTCAACGCCGCCGCCGCCACCTCTTCCTCGGCGACGGCGGCCAGGTCGAGGTCGGCCAGGACGCGGCCGATGTCGTTGGTGGCCTTCACCACGTCGCGCTCCACCAGCGCCGTATACCTGCTCGTTGTACGTTAAGTACGGTGATTAGCTTTTTGGTGGTTCGGTGCTTAAACCCTTTTTGTTCTAGTTAATCACCCTAGCTAGGCAGCTAGCAACTGCTTGCATAAAGCTAAAGTGCAAATTAATTGTGCAATAGCATTGACTGCCACTGAATATATATATGCTGAGCTGACATCAGCCATGACACAGACGCGTGTATGAGTGATTAGTTCTAGATAATCAAAAGTATGCATGCTCACAAGGAGATGCATGTGTGCTTGAGCTTCTAGAACTTCGTAGCCAATGGCAACTTCATGATAATATACTAGTAATAACTTAAGCCTACAGAAAAGAAACAGCAATTGACCATGCATAGATATATGACGGTGTCATAGTGACAAGGAATAGGCTTTGATTAATCACGCGAACGGTCGGGTGATTAGCATACTCGATCGATTCCTTCTCGTATGGTGTTAAGGATGAATTTGTTCTTGGGATCACGTTCGGTATATTCTTCCACTATCACTATAGTTTAAGATATAGTCAGTTTACTCTTAATCTAATCTACCAATCAAAAACTTTGGAATTTTTTATTATGTTCAAAATTGGTAAATGTGAAGTCAAAGATACGGAGCAAGCTAGCATGGATGTATGACATCTGGGGACCACATGTCAGTGACCAAGTGATGTATACCTGGCTGTCTCCGGCATGGACATCCTCCAGTAGTACGTCAGCGCGGCGGGGACGGCGCCGGCCATGAGTATGATCCGCCAGGCGAGGTCGGCGCACTCCGGCGTGTCGAGCGGCGCGGGGTAGCCGGTGTAGTGGTCGAAGGCGGCGGCGACGGCCATGGTGACGGCGGAGCTGACGAGGATGCCGAACCCCTGCATGGAGAACACGGCGGCGATGAACGCGCCGCGGGTGCGCCGGTTGGCGAACTCCGACATGATGGTGGCCGACAGCGGGTAGTCGCCGCCGACGCCGACGCCGAGGAGGAAGCGGAAGAAGCAGAGGCTGGCGAGCGCGCACCGGCGCGTCCGGCACACGGAGAGGCCGCTCCCGACGGAGCTGCACACCATCAGCAGCAGGCACGCGCCGTAGACGCGGCGCCGCCCCACGCGGTCGCCCAGCGCGCCGAACACCACGTTCCCGGCCACCGCGCCCAGCAGCGCCACGCCGACGGTGGCCGACACGACGGCCGGCGGCGTCACCCCGGGGCCGCTGCCGCTGCCGTCTACTGATCCCGATGGCGCGTAGTACACCCGCCCGAAGATCTTCATGACCGGCGAGATGCAGAAGAGGTCGTAGGAGTCGGTGAAGAGGCCCATGCCGGCGATGACGATGGCCTTGAAGTGGTAGTACTGCGTCCGCGCCTGGTCCAGTGCCGCGAGCACCCGTATCCTCGGCGCCATTGCTGCCGACCTAGCTAGCTAGCACTAGCAACCGTTGGTTCTTTAGCTTCTTTGAGTGGTGGTTTGATATCTATATACAGGGAGAAGTCGCCGGCGGAGTGCGGAGGTTAGACGACGACGGGATAGCCGATAGGTGGTAGCTAGCTTGCTCACTGGTGACGGCGACGTGGAGCCGTGGACGGGTTAAAGAAATGGGTGAGGGAGTTGACATCGCCGTACACAACTGGGAGATATGCCGAGGAAGATGCCGCCCATTTCTCGCTTCATCAGATACATTATGTGGAGTGCTACTAATAAAGAGGGATAAAGAAAATACGGCCAATGGCCAACACTCGCGTACCAATCTGCAGCGCTTTCGTATGCGATCGACTTTCGACTTTGGAGAGGGCGCGTGTTTGGGGCTTGCCGCGCTGCGCCCAGAATCCCAGCAACCCATCCGTCTAGTTTTTCTTTCTTTTTTAAAACACAGCACAAACAGATAAGTCCACAACGCGCGCACTGTAAACACACGCATATCCTATCTATATGAACACCTCTAAAAGACTGGGCCGATATACCACGCACACTCGTTCCTACGAACGCACATATGCACACTCGTCCCTATGAACACACATATGCACATCCTACCCATATGAATATCTCCGAAAGATTGGATCTTGAAATTGTTGAAGTCACCACAAGCGTCTCACTATCGACAAGTACGTCGCCTACTCCTGAAAGAATAATTAACCAAAAATACGAGCACCCATGCTAAATCTATACCAAATCTAAAATTTGAATCTGGATGAGCTGGTTCTACTACTAGAAACATAACCAGTTAAACTCCTCACTTGGCAGCCGTTGAGTTTCCCTCTTCTTTTTTTTTTTTAACGTGGCAAACTGGCAATTAGTGAATCTCTATTGAATATACACTAGTAGTACGGAATATAAAAGTATATGTTTATACATTTGTCTCTAGAAGATTTAGTATTACACTCCCGATGTTACTTAGGGCGCGCCACGTTCTGGTCCAATCCTAAAGAGCTCCGAAGGATTTTAAATTGTGTCAGGAACAATTTAGCGCCAAACTTTGTATATATGCAAGTGGGTGGCACCCCAATAGATTGACCTGAGGAACGCCTACAGCTTCCCCCAATTGGACCAACAAAAAGTGGGTATTCAAAATTGTTCTATTATATTCATTCGACCAACAAAAAATGGGTATTCAAAATTGTTCTATTTTCGAAGTTCGATATGCTAAAAACACCAAAATAATATGATAAATTATCAATCCTATAGTGCTAGCTGGCTTAAAAAGAAGCGTATCCCTAGCACCTTGGTTAATTAGGTGACCTTCCACACGCACGAGCATAATATATTTGCACAACGAAGATGTGCTGAAGCTTTGGTTTTATGACACAATGCAAGAAGAGGTACAACTCATATTAGTATCATTTCAAGATCCAATTAATAAGTAAGAAGATGTTTGGTTAGCACAAGTATTTGCCACGCTAAACCTTACATATGCCATTGTTTGCTTTAGCCTATCCTTTTAGTTAATTAGTGAGGGACTGAGGGCATCTTCAGGCGCTTGCAAAATATTCTCTCTATCCTAAATTGATCACTATATATATGTTTATATATGCACCAAGACCATAGATAATTTAAATCGCATCAACCAAGACATCATGTACATATTTTCTCACAATGCATGCATAAATTAAAACACCATGCCAATAACACCCTTGCATGCACACATTCTCCTATGTTGCATTTATTATATTTCGATGAAATCCATATCCATATGGTTATATGATGATCAATTTGAGAAATTTTGGATTCTATTATATGATGATCAATTTGAGAAGGAGGGAGTAGCAAAGCTTGTTAGTTGTTTGTTATAACTATGGCATGCCAACCTTATTTTTTCTGCATTGGAGTCTCAAAATGTTGCATTGGATTTGGCAGGTACAGCTGCCTTAACTAGTCGATTGATGTTGCACTCGATTCCGCATGTTCTCCATACATTGTATGACGGTCCCTAAGTTTGTGTAGGTATATTATCTAGGTTACTGAATTTTGAAAATGCATTTTGGGTATCCAAAACTTGTTAGGCATCATATAGGTCTAAACGTGCTCCGATGCACTCTGCGTGTTAACGTGGTATGTCATGGTAGCGCTTGCTTGTTGGAATCCACATATCTGTCACATATAGAGACAATCTAAAACATATTTTTCTCCTCTTTCTCTCTCTTTTAATTTTATTTTTTCAAAATTTAAAACATCTTTTCCTCTCATATCTTCTATCTTTTCAAATTTTATTTATTTTTCTATATAATTGACATGTGGGTGTCTCTGACATGTAGACCGTACGCACCACCTTGACATGCCACATTTGCTCACGAATCGGGTTAGAGTCTGTTTAGATATATATGACACCCAAAATAAGTTTGGGGACCAAGTTGTCCCTACACTTCATTCTCATTAGTATGCCTGATATGATCTTGTAAGCTTGATGAAGGTGTTCCCCACAAAATTGATTTGATATTTTACTTCACCTCTTCTCTAGCGTTTAAGCTATTGATCATCAATTTAATTTCGACACATGTTGTATTCAAATTAGTAGTGAGGTATTTTCAGGACGCATGACGTGGTGATACTAGGATGTGTTTCGCCAATCAATACAGAAATGTAGGTCACCATGACCTACATTTTTATTTGCTTTCCATGGGAAGTTCTTCGGAAAATGCTTCAACCCGGTCGTCCGATCTCGAGAAAAAAATCGGACGCCTCTTACTATCACTTAATTTGCTACATGCAGCCTCGTATCCCTTTTGTCAGATCTTCTCTTTTCACATCTTTTACATATGCTTCCTTACTTAGCATTAGCATGCATGAAGAAGAGAGGACACGAGATTATTTGGATATACATAGCACCCTTTTTAGCAAACTTGAAAATGATTTTTCTTCCAGATTACTCATCCAATCTTTACACCATTGTATTCGTTATAAATAAATCTTTACAACAAAATCTCACATGACTATATTATAATAAAAAACACATATATTTTAACCGATTAAATTTAATATTTCACATGTGAGAATCAGATGTTTCGGCTGAAATTCTATTATGTTGCACATATTTAATTAGTGTCGTAATGTATATATCTTTCTTGAATGTATCACATGGTGCTATTTGTATGTTTAAGTAAGTAGTTTATTATGTTTTATTGGTTTATTTGTAAATATTGCATATGTGTTGGTTGAGTGTTTCAATAAGTATTCATTAGTTAATTAAAAAGAGATATGTTGCACATGGTATCATTCTTATGTTTTAGTAAATATTATATGATGTTTCAATAGTTAACACCTTGTGATTAAATTATAAAAATAATCATGTGAAATCTTGCTGTAAATATTTAATTGTGATTTCTCGGTATTGCAGTTAGTATTTCTTGAATGTTACATTTCTCTTAAATATTTTTATAGACTAAGTTGGAACATTTAAGCAAGTTTTTTTATGTCTAACTCATTGAGAGTCAATGTTTCATACAGATATTATCGGTGTTGCATTTAGTATTACTTGAATGTTGCATTTCTCATAAACATTTTATAGACTGAGTTGGACATTTGACCTAGTGGTGAAACAATTTTTTATAAGTTATGAAACAACGTTCGATTTTTCTCATAAAAAAATAGTCGTGTGAGATCTTGTTGTAAAGATTCAATTGCAAGGAGTTTAATGGTGAAATCGAATCATAAATCAAATAATTAATTTAGAAGGAAATTGAATTTAATAAAATAAAAAGTAGGTTGAGATAAGTGCTGCAACCATGAAGACATGCATGCGCAAGCATATAAACTTCTTACACATGCTAATCAATTAGAGTATAAACAGTAGAGATTGTGCAACCACGAAACCACGAGTAGCAAAAAGGACGTAGTAAAAACTAGAGTAAAAGTGCAACACGGGCTTACATGCATGCGGTAGGTGCGTGGCAGTGTGGGGTCGGGCATCCGATATTTGCGAAATATCGGACGTCCGACGTGTAGCATCCTCCAAGTTCTTCATTATCCTAAACGATGGAGCTAGCCATGTGGCATATGCAGGTCATCCTCGACACGTTAGGCCTTTTTTTAAATGTTATAAATGTATCGTAAGATCGTAAATCCGTCTCTATACTACTGTATTTAAATATATGACGATATTACGAACATACATTAATTTTACCATTCATTTCATCCAAAAAATATATGCAAGTAAATAAAATTCATGCTTCAAATACATTTAATAATAAAACAAATAATAACATAATAAATGATAATTGCCTGTTTTTCAGTAAGACGAATGGTTAAACATGTGTTTCAAAGTTAGCGTCGTTATAAATTTAAAAATAAATAGAGTTATTCTTGTACCGTTTCACATATAGTAACAAAGACTGTCACATGGTATTATAGTAGAGCACCCTTGTAACATTCTTTCAAATTTTCTTGCTGGGCCACAAGATCGCTATTTTGGAAAAGAATACAAAATTTGTCATTTTTAACATATACGGTCCCATGGTCTAGTGGTCAGGACATTGGACTCTGAATCCAGTAACCCGAGTTCAAATCTCGGTGGGACCTTTATTCTTCGTTTTCCATTTTTCCTTTTTCTTCATCAATTATACTAGTTTGATTTGATTTGATACTTATTTTAAAAAGTTGAATCGAAATATTCAAAGAAATATTGATGGTCAATTTTAATAATTGTATTGATTGGTAGACTGCACCTTCCTATGAAACATCTAATTAGTTACAACATATATACATCTTCAGTACTTTAATGCCTCTTTTTGAACAATGGAAAAATAAGGAATTTGAAAGGATTTAAATCCTTTAGAAAATTTCCTATATAACTCATTGGCACAGAGGATTGATTCATTTCTGTTAAGTTCCTATGAAATTGGTTATTCTGGAGGACTATATTGGACGAAAATAACCATTTGTTCTTGCCACATGTGTTTCTTTTTTCCTATGGCTTTAATGCTCTATTCTTTATATGGATGATTGGACTGTATTCCTATGCATG